ATGAAGAGAATAGCTTTGACAGTTAAAATAATTTATTCTTAACAGATGTTACCCATCAGGTGGAAAGAAATTTACTATTTTAATGAACATTTCTCAGTGTCTGGTCTTTATATTTTGTCTTTCGGCTCAGATGGTGAAAACAGCTAGTTAAATCCGTGTTCCTTTTGCCAAATTTTCATTCTGTTCTCAGTAAGGCTTAAGACATGCAGATATACCAAAGACATCGTTTGGGCTGTATAGTCTCCATCCTCCCTGTTATTACCAAATGATGCAACATCAGTGTTCAGCTATGCATATGTTTTAATGCACAACATTACCCTTACCCTTATTAAGTATTTTATTAAACAGATCCATTCTATAGCATAGATATTGAAAAGACATTGGTAGAAAAATATTTATTTTTAGATTTCAACTGGTCTCGAATCTTGCTGTTGCTTGCATTAATTTGTGCAGCAGTGCTGTTGTAAGTATCCATTTTTAATAGCCTACAATCACCAAATCTGCTTTAAACATGAGGAGTGTAGTAGATTATTTAGAAAAGTCAAAATCTCTTCCTCTCCAACTGCAAGACCCAGAAGTCATATGCATGAAGCCAGGCAATATTATATAAAATCCAGCTATAACTAATTTCAGAAACTATTAATAAATCTCCTATTGTTACCATCCCCTAAACAGGCACTCAGGAATATGCAGGTCACCTGGCTACAGTTTATTCCATTCCTCTTCTTGATACCTCTCTCCTGATAAAAAAGACTCCTCTCTGCCCAAAGGGAGCCATTATCTCTATTTCATGCAACTCTGAGACATCCTTTTGCTTTTAAACATACCCGTACCCCTCGCACCTAACGCTAGCATACCATGTGAAACACTGAGATCCGCACAGAGGAGAACCCCCTATTACATGTGAGCTTTTGGCACTCCAAATTGTTCAGCTTGAGTGCCAGGGGCTCCTCACAGGAGAGGACAAGCGGAGACCTGTGGATCTCCAAATGCTCCTTTCTCCAGTTGTGAATGATGGTCTCCAGTGACACAGCCGAATCACAAGATTGTCTATGCTTTTCTTGTTATACCATTAGGTTTTATTGATGTTTTAAACTTAATAGGGACAAGTATTTAAAAGGAGTCAGTTCCTGAATGAGGCTGTTACCAGTCCAGGGTGTAGAAGACTAAGTGATGCTCTGTGCTCTGCCACAAATGTTTTCTGTGGCATCTGATACCTCATTCAGATTCCAGTGTACGGCGGTATTTAGGCAGCCGACTGATGGAGGTATGTAACTTCCCTTGGTTTAGTCACCTTTATGCCTTCAGAAATCTGAACTTCATTCTCAGAGAGAACTTTATAAATTCTCTGCTGGAGCTGAAGTGCTCTCCACTATCCAGCTACCCAATGCAGCAAGTACCTCCCCACCTCCCAGGGATGTTGTAAGGGTGAAGTTGGGAGAGAGAAAATCAAATGCTGCTGTACTGACAGCTATATAAGCCTATGAAAAATACAGATTCAGGGCAGTGATATCAATACTTGAGTCCTTCACCCAGATGAAGCATGAGGAAATGTTACTGCTTACATTTTTTGCAAAGTTATGACTAATTGGTTTGCTGGGTGTTCTTGGGATGCTTGATAAGGCCAGTGGCCAATTTATTTTCTCAAGGTAAGGAAGAATTTTTTGATCCAGAACAGAGAGGTCTGGAGGAGTTGTAAATGCTGCAGTCATTACTAATAAGCAGTTTCATTGTCTGGAAATAATTTCCTTTCTACCAGGACCCTTTAGCACGAGTCAACTACTGCCACCACATCGTGACTACCTGTTACAATGAATTATTACTGTTGTTTTCCTGGCTTCTATCACATGGTACTTGCATTTCTTTTACGCTGCATTACCCTTTCTAACAGCAGGCAACATGACGGCTGTTCAAATGTCACGCAGGGAAAGTGCATGACATGGGAAACTAAGGATGAAAAGAACATGGAGGTAAACAGGGGTAACAAGACAGGGCAATTCTGCTTTATGATGCCAGTCATCCACGCGCAGGTGGCTAGTATGGCAAGGTGAAATAGAACACTGCAGCAGTTTCATTTGATATCAACTTTCTCCATTTTAATGCTTCAGTCCACCTGAATGCTTTACAATGGTTATTAATTATCTCCAAGTGTTAAAATACAGCTAAGGGGAAAGCTCTATCATTGTAGGGATGAGATTTAGAATCTCAGTTGTTGATCAGATTGTTATCTCCGAGCCAGCGTCTGGTCATCAGTGTGGGCAGAAAGTGCTGAAATCTCCTCTCCTAAAGTCAGCACGTGTGACAGGGAGGTGCCATTATGTTATGCTGTACCTGAGGAGCGTGTGTGCTTTCTAGGCTAAACAACAGAAATTATGCCCCAGTATCACTCGCATACACAACAAACTTACCCCTACACAAAGAATGGTAAGTTTTATGAAACTGTATTTATTTTTCTTGGAAAAGGTTGTTTAGGAATGTACTGTGACCAAATCTGAAGGTCAAAATATTTTTTTCAGTGGTTTCAACACTGCGAAGAAAATTATATATGAACCATGCTTCAGTCATTTCAGGCTTTTGAGATCTCCAGCATTCACTGAAAATTCTGGGTAGGTAAAGCTCCTAGAGTGGTCCGTTCTTCAGGAAGGCTGGGAATATCTTCGTGCTTTATAGACATCACTTTTAATTTACAAACAGTAGAGTTTAACTACAGAAACATCTACAATAGCCCTTTTGCTTCAATAAAGAAGCAAAATTCACTTTTGAGGTGAATCTCACCACAGCAGACTTGGAGGGCGTTAATTGGATTAAATCCTTTTGCATGCAACTAAATTGGAAAAACTTATTCCAGGCGCACAGTTGTTACAGTCATGAAGGGGCACTCAGTCTAAAGTATCAGAGCTTGTTCAATGCAATTGCCCCCTGAAATATGTGTAATACGGGCCTAGTGTCCTCAGCACCAACTGCTTCACTGAACGAAGTCATACCCTGGGAGCTGCGCTATCTGCTAGTGTGGACGTACCCTGTGTTGTATAATGTTTTGCTAGGAAATATTTGTGGTAGCTGCTGAAATAGTTTCAGGAATAAAAGACCTTCTGTGCCTAGCATGAAGTAAAAAAGTTAATATTTCCCATTCTTCCCACCCCACCCCAGATTTATTGTCCAGAATATTCTGATTTTTCAGCTGGAACCTTCTTTGAATGCTCTACAGATATCACAAACACGACAACCTAATGTTAACTTGTTTAAAACATTCCACATATTTTATTTTAGGGGTTTAGGAACTTCCTGAGAAATAATGTTATGTTCATCTGAAATTTTGAATTTTAAATGTTGAAAGCTGTATTATTTTGAACGTCAGTAGAAAGACTCATTCTCCCTTGATGACAAAAAAAATAGTTTACTCTTTAACCCTTTATAATTTAGGCAATATTCTTTTATTTGGAATTGGGATGTAGTTTACATGTTAAACCTCAACACAAATGATATGAACTCCTTTCTACTCACTGACTAGAACATAAATATGGATTTCTATGCGATTAAAAATCTAATACAATCTAAACTACTAGTACTATTGACAAGATTATTTGATATAAATGTTGCTATATAGTGTGTTGAGGATTTATATTTTGGTTATTAGTTAATAGCATATATATAATACATAGGGTGATATTTCACACACTGCTAGTATGTGCGCACACACATATACGTTCATGTCTGTAGAAATTAGTGTGGTCTGCAAAACCTTCCCTGAATTCACTGGCTTCTACTACTGTCTTCTGAGAAGATTCACATGCTTGAAGTGAAGTATGCATGCAGAAGTTGCAAATTCTGCTATAAATATCTGTGCCAGGAAAGGGTTGCAGGTTACTTCCCCTGAGAAGTGATCCAGAAAATTATTTAAGGCATGACTGTGGTGTAAGGACAGGAAAGGGGTCTCCCTAGTTGCCAGCCCGTGTTGAGTGAGGGAATTACTTGGGTGTCTTTCAAGTGTTTTCTGTTTGACTGAAAATGAAAACTAGTTTTAGGGTACCACTCTACTCTCAAAGGAGGTTCTGTGGATTAGAAGGGACAGTATGAAACAAAGCAAGTTAACTGCTTTTCCTCCGCTGTGTGCTGAGCCTTTAAGCTAGCGTTTTTCCTTTTATGGCTTCTGATTAAATAGGGTCCACTGTACTGAAGAATGATTTAGCATGTGGCATATTCTTTAGAGAAGAAACTGCAAAGTTTTGCAGTCAAGGGGTAAAAATAAAGGAAACAAACTGTATCTTTCCTCTTTTGGATTCAACCACTTGTCAAGTTGTAGTTAAGTTCTCAACATATTAACTCAACATTCACCTATGGAATAACGCTGAATTGAACTCTCATCACCTTCATTTGCTTACTGTTATCTCCCAATTCCAAAAATAATTACTTCAAACCAGCTGCTTTTTTGTTTTCCTTTGTCTGGCTTCACTCATTCCGTCTAACTATCTGCTAGCAGGAACACACGTGTGACTGTGCCCGATGGCAGTTTTAAAGCAATACATGAGAAAGAAAACTTTCACATGCCAAAGACTACTTCCAGATTCTATCTTTGCCACCAAACAGTACAGCCTCAGGTGAAGCAGCAGCAGCGGACCCAGCTCCATCCTGCAGGAGACATGCTACATTGGCGGAGGGTAATGTGAAAAGAGGGCTAGAAAGCCCCAATCCCTCCTAGTAACTCAACTCTTGACTAGAACCGATTTGGCGATGGCAAGCGTCCAGCGAGGTCAGAGAACAGGCTCCTCAACTCGGCCAGACATCACCTCCTTGTTTGACTATGGCCGCGTCGATTCATCTCCCATTTGTCGCCTTCCCGTCAGGTATACAACCGAAATTTGGGGTGGTGAGCACGCTGCAGTTTGTAAAGCGCTCCCGCCGCCGCCTCCCCCGGCGAGGGCCAGGATTTACCTCAGCGAGGGGAGAGACCGTCCCGCCAACCCCCGCCAAGATGGCGGCCGCTGCCCCTCGCGCTTCCTCTTCCGGCCGGGGTTGCTATGGCGCTGCCCCCCTGGGCCCACCCCCGCCGCCGGTGTGTGTTTACATCGGGCAGGAGGAGCCGGAGCCCCAGCGCCGGGGCAGACGGGCACGCAGCCGCCGGCCGCCCTCCATCCATCCCCGCCGGGTGGTGCTCCGGGAGAAGGCGGCATGAAGGTGATTCTGGCGGCTGCCACCGGGGCGGGGGTGGGGATCCCCACCGGCGGGGTTTGGCTGGGCCGCGGCGGCTGCCGGTGGCGGGTCAGGGCGGTGTAACGGGGCCGGGCCCGGGGCGCCAACCCAGCGGGCGGGAGGTAGTGGCCGTTCGCGCTCGTAACGAAGTACAACTTCCAGAAGCTTCTAACTTCGCGGGGGTTGCGGTGCCGCTTCGTGGAGCCGTCTCCCGAGATTCCGCCCCCCCCGTCTCCATTAAACCCCGGATCGTTCCCCGCGGCGCCGTGAGGGGCCGGGAGCAGCGTGGGACCCGGAGCAGGCTGCCCGCTCCCCTTCTGGGCTTGTGTCTGTGCGGAGGAACTGTCCTACTTTCCCCGGGCTTCCTCACGCACGGCACTTTCGCTCCCTCAGCAGCCGGCGGGTTTTGTGCTCTTGGTATGCTACCAGGAGTAGCTCCGGCACTCACCTGGGCTGCCGCTCTCTCACAGGGCTCTTCCGAGAGCGTGGAGGAGACCATCACCTTTCTCCCGAGTTCGCTGTGGAAAACTATTGGGGTAGAAACAGGATAACCTGAGCCGGCTGGCAGCTTGGGTGCTGAGGCTGGCTGGGCTGTAAAAGTAGTAACGGACTAGCTCTTGGTTGAGAAGTTGTCTCGTCAGTTGTGTTGGTTAGGAGTCAGCAGTGCTGGGGTATTGTTTTGCTTCCCATTATGTTCTGTCGTATCTCTTTAATTTGCAGGTGTATGACTTTTGAAACCGTTCCCGCTCGTTAATCAGTCACGAGGCACACCAGGCATCCCCTGTCTCCTGAATTTGTCTAGCAGTAAAAAAAACAAAAACAAAAACAAAAAACCCAACCAAACAATAAATAAATGTTGATCAGCTAGATTGTAAGCTCTTTGAGGCAGAAACTGCATGTAGCTACGCTCTGTACCTATCCTGATGGAGAAATTTGGCTCAGGCCTTCCTCCAAGCCTGTGAGTCAAGTAAGTATGTGTCGAGTTCCCCAGCTTGTGCAGGTTTTGGGGTTTGGGCAGTGCACGCGTGTTGGTCACTCAGGTTGATGATTGTCTCTCAACTATCGGTGTCTGCACAGCTGACAGATGAAAGAAGAGGCATGGTATCCAAGTACACGAAATAAATATATATAAAAAGAATGTTTCCTTCTCTACAGTGTTGTTTTTTTGTTTTGCATGTGTTCAAAACCTGGTAGTAAAGAGTAATTTTTTTTTTTTTTTTTTTATTCTTTCAGAATGTTTGTTAGTTCAAATAGTGTGGGATAACAAAAAATATATACAAGGCAGTGATTGGTAACTCTGTGAGTTGCTGACTTCTACGCCAAAACAAAAACCTCAGCGTGCTGGCTGAACAGTACATCCAGCTTGAGGCCAAAACTGAAAAGATTTCCTTCAGCTTCTGTTTTATTGCATGCAGAGTGAACAGCTGATTATTCAGCTAAGCCCATCACTTCTGCCCCACTAGAGTGGGGAAAGCTCATGGCTATTTTAGATGGCCTCACTCAAAATATGGCAAGATGTGAGTGGAATCATGTTCTGATTGCAAGGAAAATGTGTGTGTTTGTAGGGAGAGTATTTTTTTTTTTCCCTTTTGTAACCAAGCCTGTATCGGGCATAAACACAGTATATAAAAGGGTCCACAGCTTTCTCTCTGACAGGGTGATTTCTTTCAGTGTATGTTTCTTTCCATATATGCCACCTTTTGCTGTAGCAGTTGCATCAGTTTCCTCTATGTAAGATCATTGCAAATGAATGATTTAAAGTCTTAAGCTGGGGGCAGGGAAATTACATTTTCAACAAGTGGAATACATCAAAGTGTTCAGTTTTTTACCCCTTATGGGGGGCAAAAGGAGAAGCAAGGGGGAGGGAGGTATGTCTGTGTGGTATGGGAGTTGGACCTGAATCCCTTTTAGGGACCTTCTCACACATAGTTCAGTGCGACTTTAAAACAAATCAGAGATTAAATTGTTGATCATGGCATGCTATACATTAGAACAAAGCTTTTTGAAAAGTCATCTTACATACTTCTCCCCTAACTGTTGTTATGTCTTGGGAAATATATTTGAATTTGTGTATTTTTAGCAGTACTGGTTTTGAGCCTTTCTCATTGATGCTTGTTAGCAGGTTGCTGAGAAGACAGGACTGTCAAAACAAGTTAATGCTAGGTGTAGAGTGATGCTCTGCCTACTTATGGCGGGGGGGAATAAGTAGGTAAAGAGAAGTAAGGGGTAATGTCAGGGGAGTTCTGTGGAAGCGATGCTTTTAGGATCCATCACTAATGTCTCGTTGCTGAGGAAACTAAAGCTTGATGTATTTTTAAGTCAATTAACATAGGTATCCTATTAAAAAGGTAGAGTGAAATGAAGTAAGATGGCAAAGTCACGCTTTAAAGTGTGAGGTGCTGAAGCTGGATTGGATTCAAGATAGTGTCTACATGTACTTTGCTTGTGTTCCCATCGTTTTCAAGCAGTGCTGAAAGATGGTATCCCTGGGCCCTTTCATGCCGTGCAAAATAGAAAACTGGTTAAGGCCCCTGTTTCCTGCACTATAGGACAGAAATGAGATGCAGTCAGCTTGAACGTGGCCCGTTCCTATATGTAGGAATAAATAAGTGATAAATTTTGGATACACCAAGAGTGTTTGCTTCCTTCAGGGGCAGATCATCTTGATGGCAAGGAAATACACCTTTACACACCTTTTCAGTTTCATTCATTAGGGATGTGGGGAAGTGTGGGGAGATGACCAAATCCCCACCCGTCCATCACACTGTCAGCCACCAACTGCTGTCCCACAATACAGTATGTTTCCAGCATTCTTCTGTTGTGGCTAAACTGTGGCTAAACGCTGGTTTTCTCAGGCCTTAGGCTGTACTGGATAATGTGCTTGCGTCCCTGCTAACAGAACCTCTTTGTGCCTTATTTTCAACCGGTGAATGAATTTGGGGCATTAGTTTAGTCCCAGATGGCTACCTGGTACAGTTTTGTGCTGCCCTGACTGCTCCTGTCAGGGCTCTAACTTAAATCCAAAATCAGAGGAAAGAAGAACATTGAGGGTGTCCGGTTGTACTGAAGTTCTTGTGTGGGAAAGCAAGCTCAAGATGTGATTTTGGTTAAGTGGCTGCTTCCCTTTTTATTGAATTGAACTGATTCGCTAAAAATAGAATGAGAGCTCATGGTGCTTTGGCATGTGCTCACATTTAAGTTATGTATTTTGGGATAAGACAGGTGTCGTAAATGTAACATTGCTTTGAGAAACTAGTAGCTATATTTAAGAGAACAAACGTGAACTTATTGCCTATAGTTCTGTTTTTCTGGCTGCCTGCGATACTTGATGTTGGCAGATGAATCCTAGAGATCAGATAGAGGCAAGGCATTTTGAAGATGAAGCATCAAAAAATATGGAAAGCTTAGGTAAATATTTCTCTTGCTTGTTTTTACAGACAGATCTGTGTTTGAAGGATGTCATGGATTGTCCTGTCAAAACTTGATGTATATGTAACTTTTTTATTAACATGTCTCTGATGCTGTTTAGCAGGGCTCTTGACAGTTGATATGAAAAGTATTTGGGAAAGGAACAGCTTATAAAAAGGAGAAGAGAGAAAAGATAGTGCTTTATATGGAGTATACAGTATTTTTTTTTTTTTTCCGCTGGCATGTAGTCCTAAATTTGTTACAGGAAGCAGGAAGAGAGTGAGTGAAGTGATAGGGTAAAAGGGAACATGGACTGTATATTCTGCAGATAAATCTGACTTAAATATTTGTTTAGGACTGGTCACATATGGTTTTCTTTATTGGTGAACTGCCTTACAGAATTTCTGGTGGTTTTCTTTTCCCAGTGTTTCAGCTGAATTTCAGAGAGGTGGGAAGAGGTTATGTGCCTTCAAGGTTCTGGGCAAGGTACATGCTTATGTTGGTGAGGGCGGTAGAAGGGCTCTTCATCAGTTTCTTCAGAAGACATGTTGTTGCTGGCTGAGCTTATTGGAAGTCACAGAAGTGGTTTGTGCTTTTGTTAGCAAATCTTACAATCTTAACACTTCAGCAGAGCTGCCCGAGGTCTAGTGCAAATCTTGGGCAATTCATTTCAATCAAATCATTTCAGAGAGAGAGCCTGTGTACCTTGCAGATACTCAAAAATAAAAGGCAGCCATTACCAAAAACTATTGCTGCTGGAATGAAGTTTTACTTTTGTGTTGTTTGTGTTCATAATGATCAAGTGTCTTCTCTATCCGATGGCTGTTTAGTTGCTGAGTGAAGTAATTCTGGTTGGAATCTCGTATGCAGGAAGTTGTGATCTTTCTTACACTTCCCACAGTTAGTTTGTAGGAAAATGGTATCTCTACGAAGCCTGAAATAAAAGGGGCATTATTGCTGGCAGTGCTTCTGGCTGTCAAGTTTAAGGCATGCAGGCTAGGTGTGAAGCTGCAGAGCTTGATAGTACCAGAAGATGTAGTGTGTTCTTCTGTAGAGTAAGTGAATGTTTTATCTGAAATGTTTCTCCTTTAAACCACTACACCAATAAATGCATATAACAACAAGCAACACTGATCTAAAAGAGTTCTGATCTGAGTTCAGAACTTATTTGTAAGGAAGGAAATACCTAGCTACCTAGCTATCAACAAAATCAGTTTAAAATTTGCGTGATACATACATCATATTACAGTCTCCCAGCTAATTCAGAAATGGTTGATGCTTTGCACAAAATGCATTTTGAAATTCCTAATGAAATAAGGAAACAGAAATAAGTTCTGGATTGAATAAAATACTTTCGATTTAACCTCAATTTCTAGCATTTAAAATTACTTTTGGTGCTTTTGGAACAACTTCTTAACTTCACATGTACTTGCAGCATTTTTTTTTTTTTTGGTCTAATTTAAAAAAATTAAGACAATTTGTGTTTCAGACTGTTCCAGTGATGCTTCTTGTGACTCTCTTTTGGGGGGGAGTGCTCATATTTTTCAAGCTGGGTACGTGCTTATGTACTTTGAATGCAAGTGTTATTGTAGAAATTACTATGTTTTGGTGCAAGAGCCCTTGAAAAAAATAGTTAAATTTCAACTCATTAAAGCTAAACCAGTAGTTTGTGTACTTTTAAGGAAATAAATGCATGGAAGCCAGGTAATTCACATAGGCCATATAAAACCACTGTTATAGAATAATGCTTAGTGCATCCTTCCGTGAGTGTTTGGTTTTGGTAGTGGCTTTTTTGTAGTTGTTTGTTTTTTTGTTTTAAATTGTGACCCTACTGCGGATAACGGAAAGGATACTACCTTTTCAGTCTCTACCATGGCTAAGAAAAACATAGGCCTATCCTATTAAGCAAAGAACTTCTCATTTTCATTTTGGACAAATTTCTCATGCTATCTGCAGCTTTCTAGAGTGGTACTTCCACATTTCATTAGGAAAATGGAAAATACTCTTTCTTCAGAGTGCATTATCTCATTTCTTTAGTCTGAATGAAACTGGCATTAATCATGAAATCTACCTGTCAACATCCAAGCTGGAAAAAATGCATTTAAACTATGTTTGCTAATTGTAGTTATGAATAAAAGTGCAGTAAAACTGAAGGTCATTAAGTCTTATTGTTGCTTGCTTGAGGTTCACCAGCTCAACTGTCTGAATTTTTTTCCCTTGAAGTCTGTGTTGACAGACAGTGAATAACTGACAGGATATCAGAAGGTTTCTTCCCACTGAAAGCAGTGAATGGTCAGTTGTCAATATGAGTTAACTGATATTTTTGAGATATTCTTGTTGGTAATTATTTAATTGATTTCAAATTGGTTTGCTGGGATGCAGGGTCATGCTTTGGTCCTGCATGGTTATGTGTTGTACTCCTAACAGACTCTGAAACAGAAAGGTGTTTCTCCTCTGACTGTTTTTCCTACCTATTAGCCTGCCCCCAACTTTAACAATTGCTGATGTGTGAGTTATGCTGTGCAATGACACTTTGCCTTCGTGTAACTTCTTTTTTCC